ATCGTCAGTGGCATGTGGATTTTCAGGGTGAAGCGACCGCCGGGTTCTCCGCCTGTCTTCAAGGCGCGTTACGTGGCTCGTGGCTTCAGTCAGCGGCAGGGAGTTGACTACTTTCAGACCTTCTCTCCCACCCCGAAGATGACCACTCTTCGGGTACTGCTGCACGTAGCTGCTCACCGTGACTACGAGTTACACTCTCTTGACTTCAGCACTGCTTTCTTGCAGGGCAGCCTGCACGAGGAGATCTGGCTGCGTCGCCCTCCTGGTTTCACTGGGTCTTTTCCTCCTGGCACCCAGTGGAGCCTACGGCGGCCAGTCTACGGTCTCCGCCAGGCACCGCGTGAGTGGCACGACACACTGAGGACTACACTTGCGGCTCTTGGGTTTGCTCCCTCTACTGCTGACCCGTCGCTGTTTCTGCGCACCGACACTTCTTTGCCGCCGTTCTACATCCTCGTGTACGTCGACGACTTGGTCTTTGCCACAGCTGACACTGCTGGACTCGCCCACGTGAAGTCCGAGCTGCAGAAGAGACACACGTGCACTGACCTGGGTGAACTGCGCAGCTACCTTGGCCTGCAGATCACTCGGGACAGAGCACGCCGCACCATTACCCTGACTCAGTCACACATGGTGCAGCAGGTCCTTCAGCGCTTCGGCTTCACGTACTCCTCGCCTCAGGCCACTCCTCTGCCTACTCGCCACTCGCTCTCAGCTCTGCCTTCGGATGAGTCCGTAGAGTCGAGTGGCCCGTACCCAGAGCTTGTTGGCTGCCTCATGTACCTGATGACCTGCACTCGACCTGACCTTGCATACCCTCTTAGCATTCTCGCACGCTATGTTGCTCCTGGGAGACACAGACCGGAGCACATGGCTGCAGCGAAGAGGGTGTTGCGCTACTTGTGCAGTACGTCGGGCATGGGGCTTGTGCTTGGAGGGCAGAGTCCAGTGGTCCTTACTGGGCACGCAGACGCTTCTTGGGCTGACGACCAGGCTACGCAGCGGTCGTCACAGGGTTACACCTTCAGCCTTGGTTCCGGCTCTGTTTCGTGGCGGGCTACTCGCTCGTCTTCTGTTCTCGGCTCCAGTTGTGAGGCTGAGATCTACGCAGGAGCCATGGCTGCACAGGAGCTTCGCTGGCTCACCTACCTGCTGACTGACCTCGGAGAGCCGCCTCGTTCTCCTCCAGTGCTGTACGTAGACAACAAGGCCATGCTGGCCTTGTGTCGGGAGCAGCGACTGGAGCACAGAACGAAGCACATTGCTCTCCGCTACTTTCTTGCTCGTGAGCTGCAGCAGCGTGGTCAGCTGCGTCTTGCATACGTGGCCTCTGAGGCCAACACTGCTGATATCTTCACCAAGGCGCTTGCGCCTTGTGACCATCAGCGCTTCTGTACTCAGCTGGGCCTTGTGCCTACCTTGCCTCACTTGCTCACCTCTTGACCTTGCTTGTACTGTTACGTATATATATACCTGCTCTTGCTTGTCTAGTCTTTTTATATATATGTACTCCTGCATGTGAACTGGCCTTGTGGCCTTGAACTTGTGCTCGGAATGTGTGGTGACTTTGTGATCCACCCTGAGCTTGCTTTGCTTTGCTTTGCTTGACTGGTCTTGTGACCCCTTGTTCTCCCCCACTTTGCCTATGGGGGTGTGTCAGAACATTATAGCTCATGCATATTGTGTAGGCTATAGTGGGGTAGCCCATAAGGGGTACAACCCAATTAGGGTTAGTACTTGTACCCAATTCATTCATAGTTCATTCATTCCTTGTTTCTTATCACAGTGGCATGCCGTACATCGGTTGTTGCTGATATTGTTGTTGTTGTTGTTGCTGCTGCAGATGTGAATTATCAGCAGCTGGAGACGCTGTTGGGCGTGATGGGATCGTAACCGAAGAGCCGTTGTTGGACCGTGGAGATCCAGACATAGTTGTAGAGAATGTAGTTGGAAGTTTGTATTATCCTAAGACGCTCGCAATACCATGTTAGAATTTGAAGTGAGTTTGTAGGATCGTACTACTTAGGATGGAAACTTCCTGTCGTAGCGGAAGTCTTATATGAGTTAAGGCTTTTTGTCTAGACTTCAAGTCTATGTAGTGATATGTTTCAGGATCAATGTCTCTGAAATCAGATATATTATAAATTGACAAACATACAAAATATATAGCTAGAATGAAGTACCTGTTCGCCTACTGTACTGTGCTGTTCTTATCTTGAAACGGTACGTAACTATTCGCGAAGTCTATAGCTACGTGCTGACGTCATCCTAGGTCGAGTAGCGCTTTGATGACGTCAGCCTATCGGTACTTTACTGTACTACACGAATTTCCTTGAAGTGCTTTACGTCTAGATATTATCTCAACACATAGAATGCAGCAATTCACTTCCCAACACTTGCCTTTTATATACTAGATGACAAGACAAAGATATACCGTAAGCAGAACATGAGGAAGACATTGTTTTTCACTCATCAGAACATGCACCAGTGATTGTGAACGGGTGTGAGAAGGGTAAACCTATTCACCGCAGCATGATTGTTGCTGGCTGATAACTTCAACCTTCCTCACCAGTTTCTGGTAGACCGGGAAAGTGGTGCACGCGTTACAATACTTTCCCTTTTCTAACAACACATGTACACGAATTAAACCAAACTCATTTCAGGGCTTGAGCCTGATATCAAGGTGTCTGTTTACCTGGCTGGAACATCGATCCAGCCACTGGCAAAGGCAATCCCGAGAATAATGAAGGGTGTAAGCAGGCCGAAGATGGCGATATATGGGAGAACAGTACTCATGGGACCCTTTCCTTCTCTCTCAGATTCACTCTGCCAATACCTGAGGCGGGGGACGAAATCACAGAACATCAGTTAGCGTTAGTAGTGAGCATCATGTGCGGTTCGCTAGATTCTTATGTTCGTGTAATCGGCAACTGGGAAAACAGGACGTGGTTGATCTAGTTACTAATTCGTAGCATGTTCTCAGCGGTTGGTATTACTGTGAAAAAAGGAAAACTTACTCATCAGGCTCCTCCGCTTGGGTGATAAATTTCCTCTTCTCAGTCTTGTCGTCACCTGAGGGACGCATTGCGATGGTCACGGAAGGGAGAAAATTAAGCAGGGAGCGACGAGCTGCTGATCGAGGAGTTGTGCGAACGAGAACCCGAGAAATATGATACAGGCGTGAAAGGCTGAAGAAGAACACACCCAAACATGGCATCGCCAGAATGAAAGCTAGCTAGTGAGTTGAGACATACCTCCGCCGAGCATTGCGTTAATCTGGGTAGGTCTTCTCAAAGCGGATCGGCATTGGAGATTGGCGGTCGGAAGACGACGTGCCACGAGGGACGTGGAGGCGCTGAGTGATCTTCTCTCCAAGGTTTGACACTTGAGGACGGCGGAGACTGGTGCGGAAATGCCGGCGACAGTTGCGGACGCCATTGCAACCTTTAGTTAGCTGGATAACCGATTTCTTCTATGGAGTTTGCACGCGGGTCTAGCACGCCCAGAACAACTAACTGATAACGGAGACAGATGCCCTTTAGTCGACACGGGGATTCCGGCAACAACTAATATGGAAAAGGTTTTCTTTGATAACAAATTTCCAAGCAACGTTTCGAACAGGTGGTGCTGATGCTTTCAATCAATTACCAGAATTCCAGATTCCCAGATTGCATTCCTGCTGCCACGACTTGAGGGGGGAAGGGCTGGGTAAATTTCTGGCGATGCATCCTGTGGGCTGCTGGGGGGGACGTCACCACCAAGTCCAGCAAGGCAAGCTGTCGTGCTGTTACAAGGTGACGCGTCAGAGTCCCAATTGGTTAATATCGATCACTTTCGTTCTGTCGCTCCACGTCACCAATGACTGATGATGTGGGGCTAGTTGTAGCGTCAGAGCAAATGCGAGCCGTGTCAGCATTCGGTGTGTTCATTGCGAAGCCACACGCAGCTCGTGCGAGAGTCGTGGAGCTTCGTGAGCCTTTTTTGTAGTTTCACAAGGAAGATACTCCATTATTGGGTGAGCCTTTCATAGACACAAGACTAGTACTCGAGTTCAGAACAGACAATGCTTAATTTGGCTAAATAAAACAATGTGCATGATAAGGGAATGCCCAACAATCAAACGTCTCCAGTAGGAGACGAAAAAAAATACTATCGAGCACGAAACGTACTCGGACAAAGCTGAGTAGCATGTAACTTCTAGCAGCAGGGCTTCATGAATTAAATAGAAGCTCCTCCACATGTAGCCTTTTCATTTGCACAAGGAAGTTCAACTCCTCCCACAGAAAAGAGATCCGACCAGCAGAGTCAACCAGCAAAGTTCCATTCACCCATTGAGGGTTCTTGAAGTTGTAGTCTGCTATTCTCCCTTCCCCTTCCAATCTGTAAGAGAAACATACCAAGCAGAAATGGAAAAAAAGTATATGACAACATGGGCAGGAACAATAAGATCATGCACAATCTTGCAAGAAGCAGCCTCATCAGATGGAGAGTGTGTGCTGATGAAAACAGGCCATGTGAAGGGAATGGAAGCAAGGACAGATACAAGTTTGAGAACTGAAGCTGTTGTCCCAGAGCAGGATCCGCCGCTTGGCCTTGCGCCTGGATCAATCTTCTCGCCTGGCCCACCACTTCATTCCACCGCTCACTCTCGTCAGCAGCAGTTTGCACCGAGTCGATCCGAGCCTTGAACGAAACATGCCCTCCGGGCACATTGGGATCTCCAACGATTTTCGTAGCAACAATTTCACCGTTCTCAACCGCAACGTTGAGAATTTCCACCCCATGCTGCCCGAACACGCCCGTCCAGAGGCCCTCGAGATCTCGCACCCAGGCGGGCAAACGAGATCTGGATAAATCCGTTCCCGAGGTGTCCGTGTCGCATGTTCTCGCTGATTTGCTTGTTTGAATCTCTCCCGCAACAGGCACGCGATGATAGGTGGACTTCGGCACAGGTACCCTTTTTGTCTGCCCGTCGGACCATTCTGACGTTTGCTGGCTACCTTTTTGCTGCCCGAACACATTTCCACCCTTTCCGCTGGAGCTTCTGCAGAATCCTGCAAACGCCCCCCCGCCAGCCCCCATACGTGCGCCAAGGCAGTGTGACTCGTCCGCGTATTGAAGCGCGCCAATCGCTCGCCGCTTCAGCGACCACTCCGCAGCTGCTGGCGGAAGGCACAGCAGAAGATCCCGCGGAAGAACCGCGGGAAGCAGAAAAAGCCATTTGCGGGGGAGAATCTGAAACCGTCGTAGGGATAGCCCGCGTAGGCCTAGTAAACGCCGTGGCTCCACTGTTAAACGCCACGTCACCACTGCCTCGTGTGTCTGTCGCTTCCACCGGCGACCGTAGCCTTCTAAATTCGTCAGGGGAGGCCTCGTTACTGTCACACTCGGATCGAGCACGCTTGGATGAAGTCGCCGCAACTTCCTTCGACGAGGTTTCCATCGCAGAGTTTCCGGAATTTTGTTTCAGTCCGGTCAGGTATTGCAGAGCGCGAAGCTGAAGGCGCTTCGAGCTTTGTTCCTCCTTCCCCGTGGGACTAACGGCTCCCCCTTTGTGGAGGTTAGCGCCCCCGATGCTGAGTCCCGATTGGCTGAATCGTTGCTGAAGCCGCCTCGCTCCACTCGACGCTGTAGCGCGGCTCGCTTCAAGCTGCTGCTGCTGCTGCTGCACGGTTGACACGGTGCCACTGCTCCCTGCAGATCGGCTCGGGGGAGGGCGCGGCGGTAAAGAAGGCACGGCTGCGCGAGCAGCGGAAGGAAGCACGGCTGTAGCAGCGGAAGCTGAAGCAGTCGGGAGCACGGCCGAGAGAGGACCGGCTGTAGCGGCAAATCGGGCCAGGCCAGCTCGCTGAAACGTCGCCTTGAGCCTCTCCGCAGCGCCCAGCGTCGACAGCGACGACGCAGACGACGGCCCCGCGACGACCCTCTTCAGGGGCGCCGCTGGTGGCGACACCCGGTTACCATCAACCTTGGCGAAGGGCGACGCGGCGAAGATTGCGGGGGAGCGGGACGAGGGCGGGAGGAGCGTCTGCAGGTGGAATTTGGCGCGCGCGGGGGACTCCCAGACGAGCACGCCGGGGAGCTCGAGCGGAAACTCGTCGTCCGCGCCCCTCCCCGTGACCAGACTGAGTTGCGTGGTGCCGTCGGGGAAAGCGGAGATGGTGAAGAGGCGCGCGGAGATGAGATTGCCGTCTGCGGGGGGAAAGGGGGAGTGGGGGAAGCGGAAGGGGGAAACGGGGAGATTGGAAATTAGAACAGGGTATGATGGGGTTCCGGGGGTTGGAGTTGGAGGGAAGGCAGGAGGGTAGGAGGTAAGGAGGAGAGGGGGGTAAGGGGGGAGGAGGGAGGGATGTGCAAGCCGAATCGCGTTAAGAGGCTCGAAGAGCTGATAGCAGCAGACTTACCAAGCCAATCGGGGATGATTCGATAAGCGACAACCGCCATGCGCTCCCATGTGACGTATAGCAGCCCTCCCCGGGGAGCCAGATCTTCCGCCGCCCACACCCCCACCAACGGACTCAAAGTGTGCAACAAGCGAAACAGACATTTCGCCGAGTTCGCGTGCACGAGCCACTCGCTGAGCGCCAGCTGGCCCTCCCACTTCCGGCAGAGAGTCAGCCACGTGTTGGGCTGGTCGATGAGTCCGTGCAGGGTGCGACACGTCAGCGAGGCGGCGATGAGATCTTTGGGTTTCAAGCGGTGGAGAATGGTGCAGATGGTGTCGAGGGGTAAATCCAAGAGCCCAGTGTTGCTGGTGGGGGTGCTGCTAGTAGCAGCAGCGGAAAAAGACGCAGCGCCTTGCTGGTGAGTAGTAGCAGCCATAGTGAAAGCTGGAATCGTCATGGTTGAGCGTTCCAATCTCCAATATCCAGACAAAGCCGCCTCAATTCTTCTGTAACTCACACACCTAATGAACTCTTCAGAGCTTCTTGCTGACAGCTACTACAGAATCGGAACTTGGGTGACTATGACGGATGGAATTGAGATAATATAGCCCAGGTCTCCCCGCTCGTAGATGGAGAGTGAGAAAGGAAAAGGCGACTTCTAGAAGAGGTAAAAGATGCTGAGGTCTAGGGATGTAATGAACAGGCCCAGAAATATCTTCGAGGGCCGATCGCAGAGGACCAGAAGGTATTCTGCGAGTCCGGTTCCTACTGCCTCGCCGTCTGATTCTATTGCGCTTTGCGCGCTACGCTTTGGAGCTTTGCGCGGGTCTAGGAAGTGTGGGTACGACTGTGCTTAGTGACCGCTAAATAACGACGAGATAACCGGCCAGGGCGGGAGACTGGAAGCAGGAATCGAGTCGACGGACCAAAGTTTCGGTCCAAGTGGCACTGCTGGTTCTGGCTGGCAACTACTAACGACCACTAAAATATCTCAAATAGGTCTGATCACGCATGTCGACCACATGCGTTTCGCGCAAGCTGGTGCCCTAAAAAGGCTGAAAAGAACGGATTTGGCATCAAATAATATGCTCCGTTCGTTCGCGACCCAGCAGTGCTGACAGCTGGGAGAGTTGCTCGACATGCCTTCGCCACGCGTGTGGGCGACGGCGTGCGATATCTCTCGAGATTCGCGGGATGCAGGGTTGACGAAACGCGTCGACGACATGACGCCGATGGGATGTACGGGACCTGAACTCCTGGGGTGAGTGGTATTTTATGCTGCAGGAGTATTCAAGGGAATGAGCGGCTTGGGGATTGAGCTGGGGGTCCTATCCCGGGAGTCCAACAAATCGGCGCTGCATGAAACAAGACGCCCAAGACAGGGAAGGAGAGAAAGGGAAGAGTACAGTAAAGGTGTTGCGAACTCGAGGTGACCAGTCGAAACGGTCGGGGTGACTCGTTCTGACAAGAGCGAGCAAGCAAGTGGGGGTCTCTGAACTGAAACGACCCAGAATGGTGGTGGGGTGGGGGATGGGGTGGGGGGGGGGGTGGGTGGGGTGGGGCGAGCGGGTGGGGGAGGAAAGGAATGGGTGGGTGTGGCGGAACGGGGGTAGATGTTGAGGCACTGTTCAGTGTTGTGCTGTACACATTTGTAGACCAAGGGACGTGCGAATCGTGAATGGTGATCAGTGAAAAGGGAGCTGGCCGCAATTCAGGGCCAGAGGGAAACCTTGGTTACCCCGGCCATTCCACCTTCTTCTGCCTTCCTTCTGGAAAGTACAGTGCTGTAGTACAGTTCACGTACTTGGCGCAAAACTAGTTCTGGAAAAATAAAGAGCTGAAATGGAAGTGCAGAAAAGCGTCGGTTGGAAGGTTTTCTCCGCAAGTGTTTCAAAGCTGCCCGAGGCAAGCCCATATGAACATTCAGGGCCAAGTACAGCAGCAAGAGCAGCAGCAGCAGCTGCTGCTCCTGCTGTAAAAGTCCACCGAATATATCTCAGCGGACAAGCGAGTCCGCCCGGGGGAGCTCGCTGACGACCCGTTTCCGCTGGGATATTCCCAGGAGTTCCACTCTCCGCGCTTCTTCCCCCACCCACTTTCCCTGTGAGGAGCAAAACAGCAACACAGCAAGGTACAACACAGCATGCTGGGCGAACAGGTGCGAAAACGCGTTGAGAGCACCGTGAAAGCTGAATGCGCAGGAACAGCCATAACGGGATTGCTATGGGGTCAGAACAGCAGCTATGGAACAACTCAGGGATATCGACCCACTTCCGTGTTCGTTGATGGGTTACATTGCAACACCACACAGTCAAATGAGGAGTCAGGACTCCAGTACAGTTCAGCTCAGTGCACCTAACCACTTGCACACGTTGGTATGCACCCTTTTTAATTATTTCACTGAGGGTTGTGTGGGGCGTCATTGATTTTACAGAGAGTCTGTTCCAGATCCCCGAAAAGAGTATATAAGGCGCCATGGATTTCGCAACAGCCTTCACACGAGTTTTCAACTTCGAGAATTAGGCGTCACTCGTAGCCCCAGTCATGTAAGTGTCTAACTTAAATAGTCGAAAACGTGCAAGGTATCTTTGAAACGCGAGAACAGTTCGAGGGGCACCCCTTGAAATTATCGGTGGTTAGGAGTACTGTGATGTAAAGAACTGTCGAATATGATGACAAACATCACAAAATCAGACTGCACAATCAGCCGTCCCCCATCCCATCCCGTGATGCCCGTTGTCCCTGGCAACAATGGTTATGTGAACGAGATATTTCTATCATGACACATTCGCGCGCTTTGGTACACTTTCCAATCAGCTGACCAGAAATGTTCACTGGCTCACAGCAACTTCACTCGAGTCGCTCTGAACGAAGATAAGCGCTCGCGCAACATCCATCAAATGGATTCGGCCTTCACAGGTTCACCCTCCCTCGGGTTCATCTCCCTTCAAAAACAGAGCAGCATCGGTGCATCTCATTCACCGTTCATTTCAAATCGTCCAGGTGGCGTGCGCTGGTTAGTTCAATCGGGGACCTCGCGATTATGACAGCCACGTCGACAAGTCAACGCGTCGAAAGCGAATTTTTTTTACCCAGAAGTAGCTGGACCTGAAAACAGTATACAAAAGGGAAAATATACCATTCGTAACCATCATGGGACTCGATAACATATTTCGTAAAAAAATAAAGGGTACGGTCACTGCAAAGCGTGTTTTCATGAGACTGATAAAACGTTTTACGTAATCAGTCACTATCAACTGGTAAAAAAAAAAAACGCGAATGGTCATAGATGAAACTCCCGCCAACACAAAATGAAACCCCAAAAGAACCTGGATACATTTTCGGATGAATCAACCCTAAACACGTAACTCGCCATGTGTTTAGGGTTGATCCGTTCCCAGACCGCATCCGATTCCGATTGGATTTTTTTTTTTTAGAAGTTAGCAGATTGGTTGGGCGCGAGCGGGAATTTTGTTGATTCTCAAGTTTTTTTGGTGGGAGTTACATGTGTGACCATTCGCGTGATTTTTTTTGTTGTAAAGGACTCTCCTCTAGTTGGCAGGAACTGGGATTTGAACTAAACAATAGAGCACTCTGTTAGCTTTCCAACGAGCCGTAGATCACCTCGATCGCTTAAGTATCGAGCGAGATATAGGCGTTTATGTGCTAGGTAGTGCTCTTGGAATCAAGGAGAGGAACTCTCTGGATTTTGTAGTCGAATGTATCACATACAAAGTGATTCTCGATTTCAGTATATGCCATGCAATACAAAGCAAACAAATTTATATGATCTGCAATGCATCGAGTCGCACATGTAACATCGAGTCGCTACACTCTCGAATGTTCGAGTAACATTTCGAAGGGGTGAAATTCGGAACTCGAATTTCACCGAATCGAATTCTCCTTCAGTCTCGATTCTTCTTGTGCTGCCATGTGGCACCGAAGTGCAGGTTCTTCCGAAGTGAACCCATACTTCTTGGAACCTACAACACATTCATGAAACATCCAACTTGCAGCTCACTCAATTGTGAGCACTAGAAGGAACACTTTCAGTGGTTGGGGGCAATCCTTGCCTCACGCAACCTCTAACATTCTTCTTTGCTGTTAGTGACTGAATCCGTGATCCGTGACCCCACTTACCAAACCCGTCAGAAAACCCGATACAGTGACCATACGCGTTTTTTTTTTTTACCATTCACGTTACCGAGTCCCAAGTTGGTTACTTATGGCATATTTCCCCTATAAAAAACAGAGCCCCCTTTTAGTGCGCTACATTCTATGAAAACAAAAATTGCCTTATTTACCCAGCTAATAAACCCTCCGAATATATCTCAGCGGACAAGCGAGTCCACCCGGGGGAGCTCGCTGCCTGCGGGAAAAAAAAAAAAAAACCATTCAGGCATGCATCCGGTCAGGGAGACATCAACCTTAAACACAGTGAGGCATGGATTTAGGGTTGATGCCTCCCTCGGATGGCATGCCATCTGATAGGGTTTTAGTTTTTTTCTGTCCGGGGCAGCATGTCGTCAAGTCGTCAATAGGTCATCAGGCTTGACGACCCATTTCCGCTGGGATATTCCCAAAAATTATAGACCCCCGGGTCGTTAAATGGAGAGGGGGGGGGGGGGGGGTCTAATGCTATTTCCACTTTCGTATTAGACCCCCCTTTTTGGATTGCATTCAGGATAAGACCCCCCCTCCCCCTCCCCCCCCATTTGTGGTTTTGTTTAGGGAACTTTTTGTTAGTTGCAAATTACCATACAATAATATATAGCAAACACCTTCCCCAGCTCTAGTCTCCTCGGTTACAGTGCTCTACATGCCACACCATGCTTTAGCATGCAGCCCCGCTGCCTAATAAAGAGGGTTCTAGGGGGATACGGTACTTAGGATACTGCATTGCTGCCTACTCACGATAAGAGACTGCTGCCTACTCAAGATAATGGACTGCCCTCATGAGGGCTTGTTCTACCCGCCCTCAGTGAAAGGGGCGTAGGCTGTGGGGTCATCTTCGTCCTCCCGCCACCAGCACTCTTCCTAAAACTCATCAACTCCCTCCTCTTCTGCCGCACCCTCCAGCCCCTCCTCGGCAGCCTCTGTCTCCTCGCAGTGTGCTAGGAGACGAGATATGGTGCTGTTGTCCCCAGCCCACCCCGTAGGGTCCGCATCGTCCGACACATCCACCTCACTGCTCGACTTGAGGTGTCGGAGATTGAGATGGTCTTATGAGCCGTCGATTGCATTCCACAGGCCACACGTTTTGAAGGAATTTGCGATGAGAGAAGTGGGAATAGACTCCCACGCCTCTGGCACCCACCTAAGGACCTCTTCAGCCGGCAGTTTCTTGAGGTTTCCTGCCATGCACCAAGAGATTCATTGAGAGATTTGTGGGGCACATGAAGCGTACAAGAGTCACACAAGAAGCTTACAGGCTTTCGTCAAGGTGTTGATGCCCAC